TAAAAAGGCCTAATTACGCCTTACAATAAAGGGCATGCAGGCCCTCATGTATAGGTCATCTCTTGGACCATCCAACTGAGGAAAAACGATTAGTTCTGCATGCCAGTATCACACTTTCCTCCAATCCTGTTCATAACATTGAATACTCATTGCTCATCAAAGCTTTCTGGAACTGCACATAACAAAAATACATGAATGTGAAGAGTGAAAACTTTGCACAAGGTGGCTGGCTAACTTATTAATGATACCTAGCAAAGCTTCTGTAACATCCAAACTGTGATGTACACAATTGTGACCTGAAGGTCTGACCTCTGGCTCCCCCTGTCCCAGTGAGGGGTAACCAGAGGTCAATAGAGGAGGCAGATGTTTTTCAGGGATGAAGTTACATCTTGTTTGATCCCATATTTGGGTCTCTGAGTCTGAGAATCCAGTTCAAATCATCCTTACTAATTTATGATGTCAAACCTGGAACCTATGTAGTACCTCACAAGTTACAAATCTATTGACAAAAGGATAATCAATGCAAAACTCCTACAGGAGTAGCACTTCTACCAGGTCTGTTGAGCTGGACTGGGGAAAATATTAGAGCCCTGAAGACAGCCTGCCCTAACCACCATTAGACTCAGGTTACCAGAGATGTCATGTTGTATAAAGATGTACATGTAGATGTACTTTCCATCATGCTCTCATTATAACAGGTTTTTGTCTGACCAAGATATAAACCCCAGCAAAGTCCACATCAGGACCTTCCCCTAACTAACTTTGAACAAGGAGAGACAAAATATAGGGGAGGATTTCAGTGTTGTATTTCAAACCCTGATCTGCAGAGCAGGGTCAATCAGTGTAGATCCCAGGGGGAGAAAAAAACAGGCCTGGCTGGGTCATCTGGTCTGCCAGAATGGATCACAGCAACACTGTAGGTCTTGCTTCAGTGTCTCGCCTATTCAATGTACAAGGCTCGATGCTAGGTGCATGTGCACCTTGGAGCTATGCACCCGATTTATTTATGTGGGTGCACTCAGGTATTATCTGCACTCAAATATTTTCTCTTAATGTACATATATAGTAGTAACAACATAAATAATTCAATCATCGTTAGGCCACACCGATTTAATTTTATGGATGACATCCTCTGAAGACCCCCACACTAGTGCGCGCGGGCGATTAAAAAAAATTCCGGCCAAAAATAAAAATGCTACTAAACCATGTAGGAATTCAAAGCTGGTAGTACTGTATTGTGAATTCGTGGCAGTTCGTAGCGACGTATACGACAAGCCGGCAAATGCTGGCTTTTTTGCAGAATTTATTAATTGGTACTGTCCGTATGTACTGAGTTCTTGAGTCGTGGAGCCTCCGTGGACGTGATCTTTTTTTTTTCTTTCTTTTAGGGCGACAGGCGAAAATCAATGCGCGCGCGGATGTCATCCGTAAAATTAAGGCGGTATGGCCTTACAGTACTTTTCTTGAAATGAAACATAAATTATTATTATAATAGTTTTTGGAGACATTCTACTTATTTCATCTTACAGTGTATATGGTGCACCTAAAATATTTTTGTTCACCCAATTTTTTAGGTTGGGTGCACCAGTGTCTATTCCCAAAAATGAATTTCAAGCCCTGGTGTAATATTATGCCCTTGTTATAACAGCAGATTTTTCTATTGTACACAGTTAAACTTGCATCCGATCATGTGTGAACATTACTTGACAAGACAATTATTCACTCCTCTCCCTTGTTTTTTTTTCATAATTTCCAGAGGAAAAGCCCAGTTCACCGTCTTTAAGTGCTCCTTTATTTAGTTTGATCTGGTTGGGAAATGTCTGCCTAACCCATTGTAGCTTTTGTGTCTCAAGTGAAGAAACTTACAAAGACTAGA